GATCAAATTTCGGACCAAATGTGGTCAGTCTTTTAATCCTGAGAAGGTTGTTTTCTAGCGAAATACACTCATTCGCAAAAAAAATCGGTTTTGTGGGCTGTCGAAGAATTTTTAGCAACCTTTCGAATGGTGTATTGCGTCTATAAATGTTGCTTTACTACTTGAGCATCCGCAGGGCTTGACGAGTGACTATAGACGATGTTCGCTGGCACGATTTCGTGGAATTTCTTAAACCGCTGACGTGAGTGTCATATACTAACGCGTTAGAGCACTGAAAATCGGATCCAATGTATCCGAGAAAGCCAGGCGTCAGACGCTAGTTGTTTCGGGCAGAAAATAGCTTGGAAGAGTTTATTCACATATACTCTAAGCACAAGATGATTTACCACCGCTGTTTGGTAAAGGATAAGGGTCCATAATGGATAACCTTGAAAAATGGCTTTGGTGATCCTGATTTGTGTTCTCGTTTTCATTGCCCTACAAAGCGAGGAATAGAAATAAACACTGTCATATTGGTTATCAGAAAGCCTAACGCCATAATGTGCAAAGTGCAAGGTAGGTGATTAGCGAGAATTTACCAGAGGCAGACAGTTCACACCTCTGATCTCCCGGAAAATATGAGCAGTATTTACGCTGCAGTTGCAAAGAATTTTCACCGCCCCGAGATGGCCAGGGACAACGTCACCTACGAACCAATAGTTCCGACGTCTGCAATGGGACAGTAGGCCAACAAGGCAGAAGGCATTGGTTTAAATCAGAACGATTTGGCCATGAACCACGGAGGCTAATTTCGGCTACTTCACAAGAGGTTAGGTGGAGTGAAGCATTCAATCATTATGAGCATTTTCTGATCATCCTAGATAGAAGCTATTGGATCCAAGACCTTTAATAGGAGTGACACTAAGGGAGGACGGTAAACGACCTCCGGCTGATCCACTATGCAGGGGCTTCTCCATAGTCAGTACTTGGTCTTTTGCCGGTGGCCCCAATAGGGGCAATCTATAAAACAAGATCCTGGCAGGTGTTCACTGTATCCATAAAACAACTGCATGAAACCCTTTATGGATTCTGCTGTCAATAGGGAAATAATACGAAAGTAGGAACATCAGTCTTGCTGATGTTTACCTCTACCCTGCTAAGAATAAGTTGTGTGGATTAATGCAATTCATTTCTCGCGTTATCTTTGGTTGTGTCCTTCGTTAGACTTGGTTTGGCTGGAAGATGGCTGCGGAACGAGTTTAAAGATTGTATCACTTGGTGGCAAGATCTCATTCTCCACTCGGCTTTCCGGAGCCTTCTTCAGTAAATTAATTCTTCCAGATGGTCACTCAACAGAGGGCCCAGATGCACAGAGAACACATCCCTAGACAGGAACGACTAAGACGATGAAAGGCCAATTGCTCAAATAATTTATTCTTAACAGGGTTGTCACTGAAGTGAGAAAGACAAGTTGGTACCTGACACGGTTTTCAGAGCATGTGGGATGGTTGGTCTTTTGTCCACTCGATCCGAAACGCATCCGACCAGCTTCGTTAAGAGATGTTCAGTTCACAGTCTCTTTGAAGGACTGATTGACGTCTTTATGAACAGTTTTCATCTTGTACCTGTAGTCTGCCTAGACTAGAATTCAAGCGGCACTATACGACTGTGTTGGCCCGGTTGACAGACCCCAGCATCAGTAAGTCCCTTCTAGTGACTAGTAACACAAAGCCTAATCACTCACCGTAGTTCGATTTTAGTTTTTCGGTGGATTCATATTAAAATTGACCCTTTCACCCCCAACTTTCTACTTGTACTTGTTTGCTTGAAAACCCATATTTACACGCGTGCCTCTTTGTACAGAAAGCCAGATATTTTGTATTTTTCGTCATACCGCAAATAGCGTAGTCACCTAAAACAAATTGCTTAGTGAATTCATTTTTACAACCATTTTGGTGTAAAAAGTCGAGGAGGAAAAAGAAAAACAAAACAGATTCAGAAGAGCTATCATCTAGAAGTGAGAGTTTCAGTGGATGAAATGTTGTTCTGGGTTAGGAAACGAATCACTAATTCCCATTTATCGGACAAACGTTTTGTTGGATTTCTCACACCTGCAAGCTTGTAATTCACACCTAGTTTGTTAAATCTCTGTCTGGTGAGTTGGTCTTGCTTTCTTTCAGGGTTATTAACAAATAACTTGACTCTCTTACCTATTATTTGGCTGCGAGTGTTACATAGGGGAATGTTTGCTATTCAAAAGTGATCACCTGGTTATGTTTTACAAACATGTAAGTCTTGTACATTCTTACTATGTAATAAAAATCACACAAGAATTTAACCACTTAAGCTGCGTTTGGCTGCCTACTTTGACCTTCTTCGCTGATGATTTTCACTTGAGGGAGGTCGGGTGCCCTAATCAAACAATGTTTATTTGGACGCTGCCATGTGGCCGAGTCGTCCTTCATGAACCTCCGTTAACTGAAACATGCTTATCAACCGACTTCCTGGTCATATAAGGTGCATTCAGACCGATCGGTTTATTCAATCAGTGGCTGGTGTAGCATGGATTCCATGCCTGGTGATTGAAGTGACCGTTTTTTCCCTGAACACCATATCGGTTTGATATCTAACCCCGATATAAATTAAACGATATAATGCAGCTAGATAACATGGCAACAGCATGGGAAGATTGGCTAATTCAAATGATGAAATTCATGTGGTATATTTTGAGATGCCAGGCTGCATAAAACTAACAGCGAAGTAAGGTATGGTGGATGGCCACATGTAGGGTCAAATCCTTCTTGGAAATTCGTAACCCAGCTTCATGTGCTATCCAATGGTGAGTGGCCTATGTATTTTTAACCAAATGTATACGAAAAAAAGTTATCAAAGACAAAAATGCTTCCGCTTGATAATAATCATCTACAGTATGCAGATTGTCAATTTTGCAAAGCAAAACGGTCAGGCGAAATCGCGGATGGTGTTTAAATTCACTTTTCCTGTGAGAAACGGTCTCTCGAGAGACCAGTGGACAACAGGCCACATGAACCGAATCAGAGAAGTTGAACAATAAGAATTTCCGTACACTCTGCATGTTGGTCTACCATAGCTAGTTGAGAGTGTTTGAACTACCGCTGGAAAGGTTCTGAGCTTGAAACTCTTCCCGAATTACTGACCACTGGTGTTACATGGCAAGGAGTAAGAGGCTGTGCAGTTCATCCTAGGTGACTGGCGCCGGTTAGGTTGCCCTACAAAGCAAAATTTACCACTGGAAGGGATAATAGCCCAAATGGTTCCAAAAATACTTGGTTTTGGAAAATCGGACAACAAACAGGGGTGTTGGTCTGGATTTGCAATTTTTCAGACAAATAGTTCAGTTAAAATCACACCGTTAAAAGAATAGGCATTGAATTAAAGGAGTTCACTCTTTTACAATAGGAAATGCATTTAAAACGAAACTTCTAAGCACCCGTTGGGTTCGGGGTCTCGCTGGAAAACGATTTCATCGCATTTTTGTGCGAGATTACCATCAGCACTTGAGCTACAAACTGTCCTTCGGTGGCCGCGTCCTCAAACGGGTGTGATTGTATCAACATGTGGATACTTACACTTTTGCTGCCCTGTGAGTGTCGGTGTACTATGCATATGCATGCGTGGTATTAAGCAGATTTTTCTCACATTGAGCACACAGAGATGAGACAGGATCCGTTTGGTACAGTAACGCGTGATATTTTAGACCGTGTGAAAATGCCTGGGTATGCGTTCAAGGCAAATTACATCCGATTGCAAATTAGTTTGATGGTAACGGGAGACTAAGCCGAATCACAACTGAATCTCTCGTTTATTAGATTCTTCTTCTACACAAAGACTATTTCTGATTCTGTCTGCTACGGTACTCAAGATATTACAGTATGTTTTGTTGACGGAACATGCATGCAACTCAAGAGGTTGCTGACAGTCCACGGGCGGTTTCATCCTTTATAGGTCTCATCAAGTAGTCGGGCCCCCGAATTTCCGTCACTTTCTACTTGAACAGTGAATCGTGGGCAGATGTCGAAATGCAGTGATTTTTTTGAAATTTTGTAGAGACGTTTCGAAAAAATAAGCAAATAGACCATTGCCACATTCAAACCGCCGGAAACTGTCCAAATGAGTAGCTTGTACCTACACGAACAGTCAAGTGGACAATCTCTTGGCAGCTCAGCTCCGTCTTGTAATAGGGTCAACTCTTTTCGCCCCAACTGTGAGATGGTATCTCTGCCGACAGGTCACAAATAGCTTAATCAGGAAAGTAACTTGTGCAGACTTCTCATGTTTTGATGACAAGATGGCGAGTTGTGCTGAGAATGCACTCCAAAGCAATGATGGATTCCAAGTTGTTTACACTATGATTAGACTGGCTGAACTGATTTAGGTGGGAATCACAAACCTCATCACTACGGTTCGGGTGTGAATCTACACGCCCTTTGTGAAAGAATTATATATCCTCCTGCCGGCCATTGAGTTCGAACATTGGTAGGCTTGTCGTAGTTTCCTGTCGTCGATGAGTTATGTATCATTTATTAGCCATACTGAACGAAACCTCTCGTGCTAAAGCTGTTACGATTTGGTGTGCTACGGTTCCACATTATCCTTGATTTATGCGTGAATACTACCCGAGTGTGGTTCACTCTGTGCTGTGAAATTTAATTTGACTACAATAAATTTGTGAAAAAGCTACTTCGTTGTGAGCTGATCAGCAGTGGCTATAGACTAGGCAAGCTGACATCGTCAGTAACCAATCTATTGATCCGTACATCTGATTTTTTTTACAAGTTTCGATCATATGCAGACACAGTATATGGTGTGAACATCTACACTCCTGAGTACTTGCCTGATGCATTAATGCAATTTTCAACTAGCTAATGAGACCACGTGAAGACCAACAGGATTTCCTGAGGAGTGTTGTTTATAACTTTGTAAACAGATACCATAATGGATGAGGACCACTCAAAAAAGCGATTATTGCTCAGGGTTTATTTGATCAATATGGTTTCCTTTGGTCTGCTGAACTGAACTTCACAGGGGACAGACTAGCCGCTGGAAAATCTTTTCATTAGCTAAGTTCATCTGATCATCAGGTGTTAATTGAGCACCGTATAGTGACAAAACTTGTAACCGAAATGAATTATGCTGTCTCTGTTTGAGTGAAGCTATTGATATGTCTAGGGTAATCGGATGCCGTTTTCCCAAAAGCTGATTGGTTTGGCAATCGATCCGATTTACACAAGTTTGGTCAACGTAACCATATACGTCGACCGATATTGTGACTATCCACACGATCTTTAATGAGCGGTTGACTGGTCCATCCTTTTGGTATGTTCTTTGGTCGTAACCTATAGCTGAAACAGAATCAAATGGAGACATCGTAAGTCATTCAAAAACGGTGCACGATTACTTGGAATGATTAAAGTTGGAGTTGCAACACTTTGTGAGTTTGTGGACAGATCAGCCTCGCACAATTTATGTACAGGTTCTGGAATGTGAAGGAAATATCCGATGATTCGTCTACTCTGATGAAGTTCATTTGGCCGGTGTCCCAAAAGAGCGATGGCAGGTGACAACTGCCCGATGTTCTCCTCACACCACAGGGCTCCGGAGTAAAATTGAGTATATAGTGCGACTGATGTATATGAACCATCAACAAACCTTTCTGCTACAGAGAAATGAATATCTAGGGTAAAACTGGCTGTTTAATTTTGGAGCAGACATCCGTCTGTGACTGTGTTGTATTGTAACTTTCTGTCCATTCTCCATCTGCGGTCTATGTTCTGGTGGTAATCGAGTCAAATTTTTCGCCACCTAAATGCTAACTAGAATGTTTCATCTCAAGCCATGCATACCTGGAAAGACACACTGGAAATGAAACTGCTTGTCAGCTGATTACAGAAACTGGCCAAACACTACGCACACTATTGTTCACAAAGACTACAAACTGACAGCAATTTGACAACTGAACTTGTTCCAATAGTCACTGTTAAATAGATTGACTAGATTAGATAGACTGACCGTTCATAATGAACCAACTTGTGTGCTGTAGCTTTGTAGGCAGGGGATGAAGTTCAATTATAAGACAATTTACTAAAGCCAGTAGGCAAGTGAAACCAATGTTTAATTTTCCATGTTGATATTTATGTATCTTAAGTATGTCGTTGACATCTGATAATCATGTAGCAAAGTCGTGCGTGACAGGTTCCGATAGTCTGACCTAGTACCGAATAATTGTGAAGAGAGAGCTCCATTCACGTGCGTTCGTTTATCTGTAAATAACAGGCAAGCATGTAGATAATTTCGAGGGAAAACTAAAGCACTCACGATGCAGTCTAAATGGTAAAGTTTGGGACGATAACATAACCGACTGACCTCTCAATAGCTACTGTGAAAAATGACCTACGTTACACTTGATCTCTAATTTGAGTCATCATATCTTCGCCCAGGACACCCGGTTGATTCCCCGTTCAGCAATGTTGTATGTCTGCACGCATAAATCGTATCAATAAACGGTGAGGGTAAACGCTTGTTTGAAGCAACTTCTTGTTAAACCTTGATAGATTGGTGGATCAGTCGCCACAAACTGACGCGGCGTGAAAGGCGTTAAATGGCCAAGCGGCTAAGATGGCGTGGTCAGGTTAGATCAGACAACTTGTTACAAAGTCGAAGCGTTTGAATGCCTGAGTATTTGCAAACGCCGACATATTATGTGTGGTAAATTTGACCAGCGGAGAAAAACCAACTGACTGAGCAGGTCATTACATAATAATTGTTCAGGAGTCACTAACACCTGTGAACCGTATTGACGGGCGAGTCAGTCGATAGCTTCAGTGGTTGTTTTGTGCGAAAGGCTGACTCGTTCAAGCGGATCACATGCCAAGTTCATGTTACTTGGTTATCTCCAATCAGACGTGGTCAACCAGCATCTGGTCAACAGCATCTGAATAATTTGGCGTAAACAGAACTGTTCCTTGAGTTACCTGATACGAAACGACGGAGTCTATATTGGAGCAAAGCCAGGTTGTTTTGTTTCTTGAGCTGTCTGCCTTTCAGAAGAAATTTTTCAACTCAGTGTCTTAACTTTATTGGAACAGGAGGTTGAACCAGATCTGAAAGTTCTGATGCTATGTTTCAAAGCCGGTGATAATACACAGAGTAAGCACTTGATTTGGTGTAGATGTCCTGTGGAGCCCAAGTGAGTTTCGAACAGTCTAAGTTTTATTTGCTGCGAGATCTAGAAGGCAGGAAGTTGTTTTCACAATCTACTGTTCACAGAAAAAACAAAAAGTGCAATGTCCTTTTTCTTTACAGTAATTTCGCATTTAAAAAGAGTGGACCTTTTTTTTAGAAAATGAGCGGTTTGCGCGGTTCTAGTTTTAATTACACACTAGGATGTATTTCCTTATTTCGTCATTTAAATGCCATGAAACCCCTACTCACTGGGGAGAAAAAGATGAAAATAACTAAAAATGGAGGTTCATTTTCTTTATCATAATGTTGTGATGACCGTTGCTATTTACCAAGCAGAGTTGAACTAATGTTGATCCTAGGACAAGGATCACTGAAGATTCGGTTAGTGTATTAATTTCCCATAAACTGTATGAAGTGTGTGTCAAACTGATCTGAAATTCAGCGAATATACACTCATTTGCAAACTAATTTGGTTTTTCGGGAGACTCACCTGGAACCCAGCTGAATCTCTCGTTTGTGATGTTCTCAGGTAACTGAATGTGCTGCACCAGGCCGCCTCATGTTTCAGTCGTTACGATATTCAAAATATCGCAATACATGAATACCTTTGTAATGTACTACTCATAAGATTACTGAAAATCCGTCGACAGCCCACGACCGATTCTGCCCTTTTTGGGGCTCATCAGGGGCTCATCATTACAAAGATATTCATGTATTGCGATATCTCGAATATCGTAGCGACTGAAACATGAGGCGGCCTGGTGCAGCACATTCAGTTACCTGAGAACATCACAAACGAGAGATTCAGCTGGGTTTCAGGTGAGTCTCTCGAAAAACAAAATAAGTTTGCAAATGAGTGTATTCTCGCTAATTTCATGCAATTTGGTTCCAAGTAGAACATAAAGTTGACGGAAACCCGGGGACTGCGCTTACTTGATGAGCCCGAAGAAGGGTAAAACCGGTGGTGGGCTGTCGAGGAATTTTCAGCAACCTTACAAAGGTGATGGAATTTCCTATTATCCTAACGTCTGAATGTGTGGTTTTTCGGGGCTGATCAGCCCACATATCGACAAACAATCAAGCACAATCCGAAGAAGGAGTTACCCAATGGGAATTTACTTCGGAATATGATGGCCTTATAAGGCAAAGTTCGCAGCATTCCTCAGCACATACGAGAACCCAAACGCCTAGATATGTTGCACAACCTGAATGAAGCAAACCCGTTTGGTGCAAAAAATCTTGACAAAAGTTACCTCATGTTTCATCGTTGATTATCCTGTTTAGAGATTTATGACAGTACAACTTGACAAAAGCCTTCTTCAGGCCAGGTGAGTTGATTGTTAGGTTGGCCGGAGAAACAAGCGGCCGGATTTTCTTCCACTGTCGAATCAAACGAATGATGGGCATTGGTTAGTGCGGCGATCGGTTGGGATGATTCCGCTGGGGCCCTTACTGTTCCCGCCCAAGACACCAGCTCGTGATTCTCAATGTGTTGGCCGGTGTGAGCTTGTCGGTACTACGACAGTTTGTCAAGGGGGTTGATAAGGAGTGCACTTTTGGTTGATTTAGGCTGTATACTTTAGAACTAGGTCACATCTGTTACGGATTCCTCTTCAATGAAGATTACGCACATCAGCGTCCCCAGAATCTCTGCCGTGAGTCATTGTAGAGTACTTGCCTCAAGATTTTAAAATTTTCCAAATCTTGACGAGACATTCAGCTGAGTCTCCCTGTAATACCAACGTATTTAGCAAGTGAGCGGATTTCGCTAAATTTGTAAACCTGTTTTGTGTTCTGTATCTAGTGCATGTCTTACAACTGCTGAGTCTTCCATCGGCGCCCAACAGCCAGCCGCGTTTCCTAAAGATCTGCTCATTCTTCTTTTGTGATCCTTGATTCTGCCGTGGTGTTCATTGGAATTCCGAACTATCCAGACCATAGTACGGTCATTGCATATTTCTTTATAAAAAGCAGTCCTAGGTTTTTTCATAAAGTAATCCACTCGCAAGGTTGCTGAAAGTTCATCGACAATCCACGACCGGTTTTGCCTTTGGTGGGCCTCATGAGGCAGGTGCAGTCCCCGAAGCTGGTTTTCAGTAACTTTGTGAATAATTTCCCTTATGTAAAATACTAAGATATCTCTAAAATCGCACCCGCTTGTCATCGAAAACAGTATGACACAGTTTGAAACTCGGTATCATATTTCAGCAAGGGATTAGCTCTTTAGATAATTTAATTCTATCCTCTACCTATGCGACAAAAAATGTACAATCCGAAGACGAAAATGTATCAGAATCTCATGAGTTCTTGCGAAATCGAGATATCGTAATTCGCATGTAATCTTTCTTCTCTCACTACGGCTTACATGACACGGCCCCTGTCTCGTCATCGAGCGCACACAGCTACGCGGTCAATAATGCAGGCAAAAGTAATCGATGCCTCACAGCACATCACACTGGCAGACAATCTGTGCAAAATAAAGTAGTTAGAGATCTTTGCTGTCACCAAGCGTCCTATCGATTACCTCGCAGCTCTAGCTAGAGGTATGTGAGACCGAGTGCCAGAGGAAGAGTGCTAGACACAGCTGTTATGATGCAATGCGCACTGGAGTACCGACGGTGTCGTGAAAGATAGTGATGGTGTTAGGATCCATACGTTGAGCCATGGGGGTATTACTTGATATCATAAACCTAATATCAGTCACTGGTGAATTACTGAGGTTCCGTCTGTGAAATGTATCATTAGAAAGTAGACATCCCTTGTTAGATTATGGCACTAAAGTAAATGTGGGCATACGACAGCTTCGGCTGATATATATTTCATTTAAAAATCTACTTAAGATCGCTGCTTATAAGTTTAAAACCAGCACGGAGCGTTTAAATGGAGGATATTGGTTCAAGCATGTTGGACACTTCTGAATTAGGACAGTAGTATGCGACCGAACCATTCATCTCTGACATCCTCAACACAACACATCACACACTTTCTGGGTCCCGATAACAGACCTCAGGATGTTGGATTTGAACCATTATTCACACGTCACAATCCCACATGCAAATATTGTGGGCTTGCTGTTTCGTGTCCAGGTATAAAGGCCGTTTAATGTTTGTTGCTTATTATGAGCTGCCCACCGATAACCGGTTGTGCTTTGGAGTTCAAC